TGGAGTTGCTCCGGCACATGTAAAGCCCACCAATCCCGGCAGAAGGACTCGGCCTTCGAAATTTACAGAAGATAAAGAATCTCAGCTATCTATCCTGGAATGCAGGATCTCTCACAACAGCAGTCTGGGAAGAGTTACTCTCCGTACTGCAAAGTGCCGCATTTCAGGATGTGAAGCTGGTAGCAATGCAGGAAACACACTGGAGGGGCTCTTGGCAATTCAGCAAGTCAGGCTGGCACGTGATCAGCTCTGGCTCCACAGGGGAGAAGGGAGCCGGGTAATGGTGCACTCCACGCTGTGCAAGTCACAGGATCTTCGCTACAACGAGGTTGTTCCAGGAAGAGTTCTCCAGGTCCGGGTGCCGAGCAACGGCATATCACTGGACGTCTTCAGCTGCTATCAATACGTTTGACGCTCTAAGGAGACAGTCGCTCAGAACAAGGAAACCCGGAAGCAGACCCTTCACTCCCTAAGTAAGTCCATCCGAGCTGTTCCCAATCGCAACACTCTCCTTGTGCTAGGAGATTTTAACTCCTCGCTCAAAACCGCCAACAAACACGTAGGGCCATGCACGATCCAGGCTTGCAGACTCGGGCATCGCGGATCTAAGGATCTCCAGACCCTACTGTCGGAGCACCAGCTAGTCGCAACCAACACTTGGGGAGTGCATAGACCAGCCACCCACGAACAAGGCAACTCTGTTTCACAGATTGACTTCTAGTTTGTCAGGATTGCACAGTCCCAAGGCCCTGCCAGGTTTTGCCGGCCACTAAGGACCTTCCCAGTGGCATCCTGGAGGGATGGTAGTAGGCATTTCCCCCTTCTTGGTAAACTGAGGCACAGCAGGAGATACTCCGCCCAAGCCTCACAACCCTATGACCAGCAGGCAATGGAGGACTGCTACAGACACCGTTCCCCGAAAATACAGGCATTTGCCAGGGAGGTAGACTCCCTCCTTCAGGATCATCCCCAAACCTGGCAGAGTCTCCATAAAGCAATGAACTCAGCCCTCGCGACTCACTTTCCCAAGAGAAAGGAAGCAGCACAAAGATCAGATCTCAGCATCTGGGAAGAGCGCTCTGTGTTGCGCTCACTTCCACTAGCAGTCAAGGTCTTAGCAGAGTTCTTGCCCGGGCTGCAGGTCCGTATGGTGTTCCGATGCTGGTGCTCGTTCTCCCAGCAAAGTGCACAGGCGAGGGTAGCAAAGCGTCACAAGCAGGAGCGGCGGCGGCAGGAAATAGATGAACAACTCCAGCAGGCAGAGCTTAAGTCCAAGCAGGACGGGAGTCATTCCCTTTACAAGGTAATCAAGCGCTTCAGGTCGTGGAGGCCCCAGGAAAGAGTTCAGCTTCGTGATTCTGAGGGTCGCTTCCTTACTGCCAAGGAAGAAAGAAGACAATTAGAGGAATATTCCCTAGACCTGTTTGGAGCAGGGGATGACTTCCCGCTTTCAGGGATACAAGGCAGCCTGCACATTACTGAGCAAGAAGTGCAAGAACAGCTTGGCACAATAAAGCTGGGCAAGGCGGTTCCTAAAGAGAGTCCTCCCGTAGTAGCCTGGCGCTCCCTAGGTCCCCAAGCAATCCGGCTAATCTCGGACACCCTTAATAGGGAAGTCACTGCAGGAAGGCTCTCGGACAGTGTCACCTCGTCACAGATCTCCTGGCTCCCAAAGCCTGCCAAGAAGCCAGACAAACCAACCTCCCTCCGTCCGATCGGGGTGATAGCACCTGAGGGTAAGGTCCTAGCCGGACTCGTGAGGAAGAGACTCAAGTCTACCCTCCAGCTAGCAATGACCGGCGTCTCTCAGTTCGGCTTTGTCCCAGGCAGGGGCACAGAGGAGGCTATCTGCAAGGCCCTCACACATGTGGACCAGGCCAGGTTCAGACAGGCCCTCACCACTACGGCTGCAGGTAAGGGACAACAGGGGCTCAAGCTCAGAGGCAGTCTCACCATGAGCGTGGACATGAGCAAAGCTTTTGACACTGTAAACAGGCTGCGACTAAGAGAGGCCCTGGAAGCCGAACAAGCAGATCCTCTTCTGATAGAGGTGGTAGGCCATCTCCACATCAAAGCCTTGTATAAGATGACAGCCAGCGATCAGAGCTTTGAGATAGCCACACGCAGGGGAATCAAGCAGGGATGTAAGCTAGCACCCTCTTTATTCGCCTTTCCATCAGGGCTTCTCTTTAGGAAGCTCTCTGGGAAAATCAGCCCAGCAGAACTAGTGAAGCTCCTCACAATGTACGCAGATGATAGCTTGATCCAGTCGCATTTCGACTCTGAGGCCGGCCTCATGACAGCACTAGCGTACTGCGACCTGCTTCTGGATCAGCTGGTAGAGCTTGGGTTCAAGGTCAATCCGTCCAAGTCAGCAATTCTGTTACAGCTGCAAGGGGGCTCAGCCTCGACCATTAGGAAGAAACTCTTTCGCCAGGTCGAGGGAGAGAAGTATGTTGAACTCCCTTCGGGCAGGCTGATATCGCTGCGCTATCAGGTCCCATACTTGGGGGTCATTCTTTCTTATCACGACTATGAAATGAAGACTCTCAAACATCGGCTGTCATCCAGCAAGCTTGCAATGTCAGAAGTAGCCCATGCAGTTCGGAACCACCGAGTCTTATCAGACAGACGTCGTCTGTCGATTTGGACAATAACTGCGTGGGCCTCTGCTCTGTATGCACTCCACGTGGTCACGTGGTGGGGATGACACAGCAGGGATTGCAAAAGCTCCATTCACACATGATGTACCAACTCAGATTCGTCCTGCGGAGTTACTCCCAGGAAACGAAGGAATCAAACCAGGAGTTACTCCGGAGATTACGGATTCCTCACGTGAAGGAGCAGCTGCAAAAGAGAATGACCCAGTTTATAAAGAGACAGCAACACGCCGATCCCCAGCTTCTCCCACACTATAAGTTGCGTGCTGAGGCAGTTAGCCAGGCATTGGAAGGCCTCTCCACGGACTTCTCCTCGCACCATGTGGAGGATAGGCTTGTTACATTCTTTGAACACTTGCAGAAGATATGGCTTTATCGTTCGAAGAAAAACAACATGACAAAATGGCTCAGAGAACTGAGTCCAATTTTGATTTGTTGATTTAGGGCTTTGCTTTCACACTGCCTGTTTATGAACCATCATTTATACATGCTGTGAACCAGTTGAAAAAATATATCCGCCCGTTGCAGCTTGACCTCTCGAAGGGGCAGGAAGCCTTGAATCGGGCGAGAGTTTTATTTGAAATAGGGGGGCGGGCCGGATGCTTGTGCCTCAGTCTCTCGCTGGGAGGTCTTGCTGAAGTGATTCTTCTGCTTGAATGCGACTTGAGTCTTGAGCTTACAGTATCCTGCTCAACTTGCAGAGCGATCTGCGGTTGCCCACTTAGCTGGAGCTTTGTTAGTTTTTCGGTGTGTGATTTTGGCATTGACCTGTGGTTCAGGAGCATGCAATCACCTGAAGTGACTGGAGAAGAAGCAGAGGCGCCGACGCCCTCGGATTCGTTCACATCCACTGAGAGCTTTGTGTTACGTCACATGCGTGGATTACAGATCCAGATCTGTCGGCTGCATAGAATGCAGCTCATGCTTGCTGACCGCCTTTTCGATCGCGTGTCGCGGTTGGAGTCTCAGCAGATGCTCGTTTCTTGCTTTCTTCGTTGGAAGTTTTGGGCTGGCCGCAATTCTGATCCGGAGCATGCTCCTCGAGGATTGCTGGAACCTCAGTTCCCGTAGTGAGACTTTGAGTAGATTGCCTCCTGCTCAGAGGAAGAGAAAGGCGGGCGAGGCAGACTTGCCCTGGGACACACCTCCAGGGTATATCTTCAGGATGCGGGTGGTCGTTACTGACCGCCTGACAAGCCACATGACCATCACGCTCGATATTCAGCTGAGTTGCAGAGATATTATTGATCAGGCGAAGTACTTAGTGTCCCAGCGTTTGTTCGAGCTTTTTGGTCGCTTTCCTCAGCTGAGCTCTTTTCAATTGGTCCAGGATGGCAGGCACCTGAGTTTTTCAGCTCCAGTGCTAGTGGCCAACACGTTGTCCCCTGTGAGATTCGTTCGCACTGCCTAAAAGTTTGAGCGGGGACTTGCTGATTATTGTGCTGCTGTCGGAGTGCGAGGGGCAGCAGACAGGCAGGACGAGAATGCACAGGTCGTCCTTTTTGCTCTACGTTTGCAGCCGTTGTGTCTCAGGCAATTGCCAGCAACTCAGTGGGGATGTCGGATAATGCTAACTCGGCAGAGGTTGTAGAGACTGACGCTGAGATGTCGTCGTGGAGCTCAGCTTTCGATTTCCTGGATGACCCTGTCCAGACGAAACGACCAGACAAAAAGAAGAAAAAGAAGGACGGACGGGACCGGCGAGCCCGCAAGAAGCCATCTAGGAAGGTGGGCAAGAAGCGTGGGAAGAGCTCGGATTCTGCAACGATTGTTGAACTCACTACCGGGCAACAGGCAAGCAGCTCCACTGAGCTTGCGGCGAACAGTGTGTCAGTGGATGCATCAGGCATGCAGACAGCCTCTGAGGAGCTCCAGACCTCTGGAGAGTTCACCTTCGTTGCGGTGTGGCGGCCGGGGCCCCCACCGCCGCGAGTTGGCAAGACGCGCGCGGTTGCAAAGATGCTGGTCCGCGCGGGCCTACGTTGCCCTTGTCATTATGCTCGTGAGTGCCCCGACAGACTTCGGGTCTCGCCGGGACCCCAGACCGCTGTACCCCCACTTCGGCATGTGGAGAGATGGCGTTGCGAGTACTTTCTATGTCGCGAGTTTCTGTATGCTCAGGCCGGATGTTGGTGAGAGTTAGCACTTCAGCGCTTCGGAGGCGGAGTTTTTCTCGTGCCTATGAGGCGGAAGAAAGGTGTGTCGGCAGAGAGCCTACAGCATAGCAAGATGCTATTGGGACAAGAGTCCATGGTGAGGTGGGGCGAAGTTCCCCTTTTATGCGCAGAGATGCTGTTGCAGTTGTCGGGCTCATTCTTCTTGCGAGTCTAGTTGATAGCCATGACGTCCTCGACTGATTCGTCTGAGTACGAGTCTTCCTCCGGGGAGACCGAAGTCTCGGACAGTTCGTCGCCGGCCAAGAGGTCGAAGCCCCGGAAGCAAGTGAAGAAAGCCAAGAAGGGCAAAAGCCACAAGGCCAAGAAGGCCAAGTCTAGCAAACGTGCTAAGACTTCAAAGGCCAAGAAGTCCAGGCAGAAGAAGGAGAAGAAGTCCCGAAAAGAATCGGATGCCACCCCGGGTGGTACGGATACCTGGAATAAGGCGACCTCTGGTTGGAGCGGGGGTTACTCTTGGTCGGCTGGAGATTCAGGAGGCCGGTCTTGGAAATCAGACGCTGCGGCGTCGAGTGCCGGCTGGGGCCCCAAGTGGAATAAGTGGGAGAAGCCGCGCCACCATTGGCAGCCCAAAGCAGCGGCTAAGGCGCAGATCCTGAGCCCTAATTTTGGCGGGGGCGACACCAGTAAGAAGCAGCGGTGGGAGCATGATGCTGCTCCCGATGCATGGGCGGATTACTGGCAGATTGCCAGACAAAACAACGAGGAAGATGAGTGGCGAGTTCCGTGCCCGGCAGCGGCTCGGGACGAGGGGATCATCCCGGTTCTTACCTCCCCCAATGAGCATGAGATTGCTCGGATTGCCGATGGGGTCCTCCTTTCCTTTCAGGTTCCTCGAAGCATGCTGGAAGCGGTGATTCGCGCTATGCTGCAAGCAGAGGTGGTATGCCCCACCGTCGATGGAATCCCCGCGATATTTCAGATCAGGGGAGAAGGCTGGGGTCATTTGGTGATCCCTTTGGTGGAGCAGGGCACGGATGCCCCCCTCCAATCACCTATGCATCGCGAGCTCCTGGAGTCCGAGACGCATCATTATTCTTTTGCACATGGGACCTCGCAGCATGCACTTCCTCTGATCCTGAGGGAGCGGATCATTCGTCCCCAAAACTTCAAGAAGGGCTCCACTCCTACTGTAGGACCTTTTGGGGTGGCTTCACCGGGCCACCTCACGATGAACCCCGATTGCAGTACTTTGAGGACCATTTTGAAGAGGAGCCGCTCGATCAGCAAAGGCCAACAGCCCTCGACCATCCTTTGTGAGGTCAGGACCCCGGAGACCCATGTCAAGTTGGACGCCGGAACTGGCGAACAGTTGCAGATTTCTAGCCGAGATGCAGGACTGGCTGTGGGGCCGGATTCGGCAGTGGCTAGGTCTGACTTGACCTACATCCTGGGTGTGGCCATCACCTACCCCTTTCAGGGACCTGGTCGCGAGCTGACCTGAGCACCAGAATCTTCCTGAATGGAAAAATAACCGAGACCGGTTGAGTCGTTCATGCTCGATTTTGGTTGTTTGTTATTGCAACGACAGTTGGGCCTCGAGGCCATGAATGTACCAGAAGCGGATCCCATAGTAGTTGATCATGCGCGTTCGGTTCAAGTTTTGACAGCTTTGGTGGGGCGGAGTTCCTTCCAGAGGTCTTGCGATGTCTGGCCACGACCCTAGAGCGAGTGAGAATGAAGTGTTCATGCGAAACATAACCCATGCTCGGTCGTCGTTGCCGCGGCAACCTTGGGAACAGCCGGCTATGCTGTGCATATTTGATCCATTGAAAGCGGCTTTCCCTCAGGGCTTGAACCTGCCTTATCAGGGACTGGTTGGTTCGTCGCCTGTTCCCCAGACGACAGCACAGCCTTCGGATTCCGGAACGTCCGTGACGAGTGGTTCTCATTGTCAGGCATGGACTCGTGCAGTCAAGGCAAAACGAGGGCCTAGGGCCGCGGATCGTCGCGAAGAGGCGTATCGCCGGGTCCTCACTTTGCTGCATGCTTTCTCGAGTTTCTTCGATTTGTGTACCTTGATGGCTGATGACGAGGAGGACGGCCAGGATTCTGTTCAGGCAGTTTTGGCAGGGAAATCCCCGAATACCATTTTGAAACATGTGGGTCCGGTTCGTACCTTTTGTGAGTGGCTTTTGAAAGCCAGCTACGCTCCGCCTTTTGCGGAGAAAACTTTATGGTCTTTCATCCATTGTGTCCTCAAGATGCCCAAGACTGCGGCTACCACACTGGACAGTAGTCTGCGTGCTATCAAGTGGAGCTATTATACATTGGGACTACGTGTCCAACTAGAGGTTTTCAGCAGCCCTCGAATTCATGGTGTGGTGAAGAAGGCGTTACAGACTAAAAACCCTTGGTGCCCGGCGACGCCCTTCAAAGTATCAGAAGTTCTCCAATTGCACGCTATCTGTTGTGATCCCTCTATTTCTGTCATTGATAGATGCGGAGCGGCGCATTTCCTTGCTATGCTCTATGCGAGGGCAAGAGCATCGGACATCCGGTGCGTCAAAAGTATCTTGATAGATGTGCACAACGAGGACTGGAGCTCGGGTTTCATTGAGTTAGGGACGCTCGAGCACAAGACGTCTCGGCTGGACACCCAGCGACGTCGTATATTGCCTCTGGTGATTCCTGGCCAGGGTATTGCCAAAACACCTTTTGGTCAGCTCCTCCTGGACATTAGGGCTGAGGCCGGTTTGCCGAATGATCAGGCGGATGTGCCATTTTTGCCGGCGCCTCTGCCGGATGGGTCTTGGTCCTCTGACCCACTGTCTAGCAGCGAAATTACCAGGGGGCTGAGGTATTTACTGCCACGTCCATCGTCGGAACAGGCTGTGAGTTCGCACTCGCTGAAGGTTACTTCACTTGTTTGGTGTAGCAAATTCGGGATGCTTCGCGAGACCAAGCGAGTTCTAGGCCATCACGCGGACGCTGCGACTGGCAGCGATGCAGTTTATGGACGCGAGTTGCAGAGTGCGGCACTGCGTGAGTATGTTGTCGTGCTGGATGCAATCGCGACGGGCAAGTTCCTGCCGGACCAGACCCGTTCAGGTCATTTCGCATCAGGTTGGACTCGGGAATCTGTCCTGCAGGCGGCTGCTTTCCCACAGGACTCGGAAGTCCTACAGGCGGCTGTGGAGGATGACCAGGATGATGCATTGGCTGTAGTCTCTGATGTTTCGGACTCCGATGAAGAGGCCCCGGAGGAACAATCTTTCTGGGCTCACCCGACGAGCCAGGTTCTGCATCGCACGACTTTGGGGTCGCCAATGTTCTTGTGCGGCCGAGCTTTTGGTGATCATTATATATATTATAGGCGCATCCCTATGGCGCGGGCGCAAGCGCACCCACAATGTGCCAAGTGTTTCCCCCAGCGCGCAGTTTGATTTCTGCTTGCTCGAAAAGGTGCCAGCTGTGCTAGTATAGTGCGCGTGGACATTGTGTGAGCTTTGTTTTCGCCAGTGCTTTCGGTTGCAGGTGTTTTAGCCATGACGAGTTCCGTAGATTCTGCGCCTTTCTTTGTGCAGCGAGCGGATGAAATCTCGCTTGCTAAGCGAGTCGTGGATGCCCTGAAAGGTAAAGGGGTCACCACTTTGGCCCAGTTGGCTTTCTGTGTCGGACAACCGGGACAGGTGCTCTCTCAGACTGAGTTTGACACGTGGAGCGAGGCCATGTTGGTAGGCATCACGGTGGGCGAGAAGGCGTCTCTGAGGCGCTTGATACTGGAAGCTCAGACCATGCTGGTGGCTTCCTTGAAGGATTTAGCAGAACCTGCGGAACACGCTTCCCCTAAAAAGGTGGGGGTCGCCGAGCGTAATGCTCGCATGGATCAGCTTCGGACTCAGCTCGCAGGAGTTTCGCTCACTGGACAGCTTGAGCCGAGTCATGCTTTGCTTGACATGGCAGTTCAGCAGTGGGAGAGTCGGTGCTTGAAGTACATCGGTCCAGAGAAGTGCCATAGTCGTGAGGATGAGGTTCAGAACACCAAGCCCTTAACCACCAGCCTGTCCTTGGAAGGCGGTAAGTTGAAGGTTACGGAGGCTGCTGGTATGGACGATCGTGATATTGAGGGCTCTTTGCAGGTCCTTAATGCCCTGCGTCGCAGGGGAGTGGCTTATGCATTTGCTCGCTTGATCAGTTGGGAGAAGCATGAGGCTTACATCGCTTCTTTGTTCAGGTATCTGACCAAACCCGCTCAGCCTGGTTACAGGAAGGTGTCCCTTCGTCAGATTCTGCGAGCTGACAAGCTTGCCTTTTCCAAGTTGTCGGAGGCAGGTGAAGACATACGGGCAGACGCCTCAGGTACTCTCCCACTTGATGCAGCGATCGGGGCTATTCTTCATGATTACGACCTCATTGTAGCCCTTCTGCCTATGGGCGACTTGGACGGTAAGGGCAAGAATGCTACTGGCCGCGGCGGTCGCCCTGGCCCTTACGGCGATACTGCGCCCTGGAAGGGGAAGAATGGCAAAGGTAAAGGTGATTGGAACCTCAAAGGCTCTGATCATTGGACAGGGAAAGGCAAGAACACCTGGCAATCTAAGGGCAAGTCGCCCAAGGGAAAAGGCTCAGGGGCTGGCAAGCCGGAATGGTTACCTGAGGGACTTCGTTTCCAGGGAGCCTCTGCATGGAATCATAAAGGCAACAAGGTCTGTTACGGCTTCAACCTTGGGACTTGTTCGGATGCAAACTGCCAGAAGGGCGATCATACTTGCTGCATCTTCAAATGTGGTGGTGACCACCCGGTGGGTAAGTGCCCTTTGAAGCCCAAGAAGCTGTGACTAGCGGATCCCCCGCCTTGCCCCGTCGCTTTGGCGTCGGATGTGGAGATGGCATCTTCGGAAGAACCCGTTTCAGGTGGTATCTCTGTAGCTGATGTCGCGGCCCCGGCTTCGCCACCTTTTGGAGTGGGAGTGGACCCTGCTTCTAAGATGGTGGATGTCGACGATTCTCCGATTTTGATAGAACCTACAGTTTTGGATGCCCCTACGATGCCCAGTGCTTCGTCTGAGTCGTTTTCCTTGGAGCACGCAGGGAGCGAGGGGGCGCTCCCCTCACCTCTCGTGGCATCACAGGACAATTCTCCGGCTCCTCAGAGTCAGGAGCCAAGCAGGGCCGTTTTGCAGTGTTTTGCAGGCCAAGCTCGTGTGGCTTCAGCTTTGATTAAGCAGGGATATTTTTCTTACGGAGTGGACCGATTCAAGCAGAAAGCGGCTATGGCCCCAGTGCTTCAGATGGACTTGTCGACGCGGGAGGCTTGTGACTCTGTCCTCACATGGCTTGACAAACAGAAGATTGCGGGTGTTATGATATGTATTCCTAAGCATGCCTCGGAGCCTGTCACTACAGCTTTTATTCTGGCCGTGATGGCTGGCTGCTTAAGCAACAACCTGCCCATGATTCTTGAGGGATCGGTGTCCTCTCCATTTTGGGAGAGTTTGAATCGCTTACCATCAGCACAGCACCCTCCGCATCGGGTGGAGATTGATTGGCGGTATTGGGACCCACATAGCAAACAGCGCAGCTTCGTGTTATCTAATATGCCTGAAATCCTCACTGTGCGCAGGGAGTCGGCTCTGCTGGGACATAAGGTGCACCAGCGCTTGGAGGCGCAGACAGGCTACCCGCCGGCTTTTGCCACGGCGGTAGCTGAGGTTTTCATTGCCGGTTTGACTCAGCGACAGCTGCCGTGCCGTAGCCCGGCCTTGACTAACAAATATCTGCGCGTTTCGGCTATGAATCAGCCCCGTGGGGCGATGCCGGAAGTGGTGTCTGAGTGGAAGTTGGTGGTCTATGTCCTTCTGCCACTGCAGGTTGAGGATCCGTTTGGCGGGTCGAAGCGCCTTAAACAGGATTGGCGGGTCCCGCAAGGCGCCCGTGTGCTGCCGGAGCTTGGGGCACTCCCGCAGGATTCCCAGCTTCTGTCGCGTACTCAGTCAGGGGGGGAATTGAGCTCGCAACTCCAGCAGGAAATGCAAAACTTGAATGGAGCCTCAGTTTTGCGAGTGGGCATCCCATGGGATCCCATCGAATTTATCGCCAAAGCAGGTAAGATTGGACACCCATATCATAAGTTATCCAAGTGCAACAAGGATTTGAGAGACCTCGTTCATGACCTAGTACACAAACCGGGAATGGTTCGTTCTCAGAGGAAGAATTACATCGAGAAGTGGGCCAGAAGAGCCAAAGAGTTGGAACCAGAGGAAGCCAAGCTGAAAGCTGGCATGTCGGATCACAGAAGGAAGATCCTTCAACCCAAACGTATCTTGCTGTTCGAAGAGATGCTGCGAGACATTGGGTATGATGATATGGGGGTGGTTCAGGAACTCATCGATGGAGCCACGCTGACGGGAGACATTCCTATCACTGGGGTGCTGGATACCAAGCTCAAACCTGCTAGGTTGGATACTGAACAACTTTTGGGGATGTCTGATGAAATCAAACATCAGATCCGGGCGAAGACTGGGTCGTCGGGTGATAAGGAAATTGACCAGCTATTGTGGGACAAGACGATGGAAGAGGTGCAGAGTGGGTACCTCTCGGGACCTTATGATTTCGAGTCATTACCGAAACGATGTTTGGTCAGCTCCCGTTTTCCGCTACTACAAGGGGAGAAGCTGCGACCTATTGACAACTACTCCTCGAGTTTGATTAACGATACGGTCACAGTCTCTGAGAAGCCCATCACGCACTCTATCGACGAAATTGCTATGTTGATAAATACACTCTCGAGTGCTGCTCGAAAGAAGAACCTGAACGCATTGTACGGGAAAACAGCGGATCTGAATTGGGCTTACAGACAATTGGCGGTATCTGATACAAGCTTAGATTTCTCTTACCTCTCGGTCTACGACCCGGCAGAGGAGAAGCCCAAGTTGTTCCAACAACTAGCTGTGCCCTTCGGCTCCACCAAGGCCGTGTATTTTTTCCTCAGAGTGGCGAGAGCTCTTTGGACTATCCTGGTCAAAGGGGCCAGGATCCCGACCACGAATTACTTCGACGACTTTGTTCTGCTCGCTCTTGGAGGAGATAGGAGTTCGTGTTCGCACGCTTTCGATGAAGTTATGAAGCTGTTAGGTTGGAAACTGTCAGCTGATAAGACAACGGAGTGGAACACTAGCTTCGAGGCCCTTGGCGTTCTTTTCGAGCTTGACCAGACGGGGTCGGGAGTTCTGAAAGTCAGGAACACTGAGAAACGACGTAAAGAACTTACTGCTGCGATCAAGGGTTTCCTGGACAAGGGAGCCATGACTCAGAAGGAAGCCTTACAACTGCGGGGTAGGCTACAGTTTGCTCAAGCCCAGTTTTTCGGTAGACTGGGGAGAAGGTGCCTGACAGAGGTGACAAAGCATGCCTACACTGGTAGGTCGAAGCTTTCGTCAATGGCCAAAGAACGACTTGAAGAGTTTGGTAAGTTCCTTGACATGGCCCAACCGAGGTTAGTGGGACAAGTTTCATGCAGGACTTTTATGATCCTTACAGATGCGGCGTTTGAGGCGGAATCAGGAACCGGAGGCCTTGGGGGAGTCCTTCTTACCGGGGCAGGTTCTGCACTTTCTTTCTTCAGCGTGCCGATCTCAGAGCAGCAAGCCAAGTCGATGTCGTTACAAGATGAGCATACAATCATATATGAGCTCGAAATGTTCGGAGTCTTGATCGGTCTCAAGCTCTTAGTCGAGAAGACAGCTGCTTTCGCAGAACCATACGAACAGCCGGGTGCTGTGGCTGGAACGGGAGTGATTTGTTATATCGACAATGATGCGGCGAGACACGCATACATCGCCGGCTCTTCGAAGAAAGGGGTGGCTGGGATCCTTATCGATGAGGTCAATTTTCTTGAGTATGTCCACGGCATCTTGCCGTGGTACGCGAGAGTGGCATCACCAGCCAATCTGGCTGACGAACCCTCAAGGATGAAACTTGATAGAGTCAGGAAGTTAGGATTCAAAGACGAGTCCATCGAGGCGACCAAAGTGGTGTTATCGATTGTGAAGAGAGTTTCGAATCTGCCTGCGTAACACTGCGACTCCAGGAAGTGGGGACGAAAAGAGTCTTGTGTCTCACAGGACCGACAGTTCGAAGATATCTGCCGTGTGCGGTACTTGCTACCCCACCGTGTGAAAATAGCGTCGAGCTTTGAACTTCTTGCATGTGACATGTACGAGTGCAAGCATTCATCCCTGAAGGTTCAAACATGATAGACATCAAAACACAAAGCACGATCTTTGAACGATAAGTTACATTCTTTGAACACTTGCAGAAGATATGGCTTTATCGTTCGAAGAAAAACAACATGACAAAATGGCTCAGAGAACTGAGTCCAATTTTGATTTGTTGATTTAGGGCTTTGCTTTCACACTGCCTTTTTATGAACCATCATTTATACATGCTGTGAACCAGTTGAAAAATATATCCGCCCGTTGCAGCTTGACCTCTCGAAGGGGCAGGAAGCCCTGAATCGGGCGAGAGTTTTACTTGAAATACCCACCCTCTCCACCCTAATTGATTCGTGGAAGTGCAGAGATTGCATCAGTGTTGTGCTACCTCAGGAAGCTTTGGACCTCAGTTTGAGGACACTCAGGTATGCTTTGTGCATAAGACCCGGTTCGGGTCTTGGCTCTCTGCTTTGCAGTGCTTCGGCCTTGCTCGTCTTCGACTGGCAGGCTGTTTACTAAGGTTCAGATTGTGAGCCGTGCACGGCTTGAGAGTGGCTAGTACTCCTTGCGGAGGGGACGAAAAGAGTCTTGTGTCTCACAGGACCGACAGTTCGAAGATATCTGCCGTGTGCGGTACTTGCTACCCCACCGTGTGAAAATAGCGTCGAGCTTTGAACTTCTTGCATGTGACATGTACGAGTGCAAGCATTCATCCCTGAAGGTTCAAACATGACAGACATCAAAACACAAAGCACGATCTTTGAACGATAACTGACCTGCGGTGAATGTGGAGCATGTCTCTCTGGCACCGGAGCACTCCGTCGCCACCTGCAGAAGGCTCACCCAGATTCTCAGCAGTGCCTGAAAGGACCCAAATTTGATCCCATTTTGCATTCAATGCCAGGGTCAGCAATTTGCATCGCCTGTCGAGCAACATTCCGAACAGTGTTTTATCTGCGCAAACATGTCGAAGCATCTACCTGCCCTAGGGTAGAGCTTTTGCTTAGACAGCAGGAAGAGCTACCCTTAGAAGCACAGAACCGGATCTCACTCGTAGAAAGTCTACAGTCTGATGCCCAGGACAATCCAGAAGGCGCCGCTCGAAATCCGGCGTTCCATGATTACCTGATGGAACACTGCGCACTCTGTGGTCAGGTCCTCGTAGGCCAGAAAGGAGCCAAACAGCATTTAAACAAGCAGCATCCTGAGGTGATGGCCAAGCTGGAGAAAACTCTCCAACCAAGACTCAATCAATTCAAGGTCTTCTTCCACAAAGGAGATAGCTGTCGATACTGCAAACTTCGTGTGGATGCCCCGGGTAGACATGCTCAGCAGTGCGTTCCATTACTGCAGGTGCACGTACTGCAGGAGGTAGCGCGCCAGCAGCTCAGCAAGCAGCCCCGCGAATATACTCGAGCAAAGTCCACGGCATCGGCGAAGACAGTCACAAAGAAGCCTTCAGATTCAACGCCAGGAATTCCTCACCCCGTGTTTAGACTGGAAGGCTTTCTCCTGCTAGCCAATACTCGCAACCACTGCTATGCCAACTCAGGTCTGCAGTGTCTCCACTGGCTATCAGATCCTTCAGAGGCGACTTTCCAAGAGGCATCCCGGATCAGTCAGCTTGCGAGAATAACCCCTGAACACAGAGTCTTCTCGGAGCTCACCATGGGCTGGCTCTTTGACGGAGGCCAGCACGACTCTGCTGAGTTCCTGCAGCAAGTGTTTCGGAATCTCTCTGCATCAAGATTTGGACAGTGGGAAACTAGAGCCTCAGTACCGGAAGGCGTGATAGTGGACGAAGAAGGGGGCTCTCCCATTCATCTTGCCACGGCGATCAAGACCAACCTACAGGACATGCTAGTGGCATGGTCGTCTCAGGAGCGCTCATGTGCTCTCATAGAAGCTGCACAGCAGGTGTGCTTAGCCTTGCCGAGATTCGCAGGTGAAGCTAAGGATCACACTCGCATCACAATCCCACAGCAAGTCCAGATCCCTGTCTTCCTGGACCACACATCCCGAGTTTCGTTCTGTACCTACACAGTAGAGGCAGTGATCATTCACCTAGGAATGGAGTCCACTAGTGGCCATTACCGTGCAGCTGTACGCACAGCAGATGCCTGGTATGTTGGTGATGACTCCCACCCCCCTAGTCCCTGTACCCTCGAAGATCCCCTGCTTCAAGAAAATAGCTACGTCATCTTCCTAGCTCGCAGCGCCGTCTCTCGCGAGCCCCAGTACGTAGCCAATCTCCCGAGTAATGTCTCTGCAAGAGCTCTTCCAGCGAGCATCGATGGATGAGAGCTCTGCCCCTAAACGGGGAGACGCAGGTCCGTCAGGTGGAGATTCTCCCCTGAAGCGACAGCGTGGTGGAGGTACTCCCCAGCAACGAGGCAGAGGACAACAGCGAGGGGGCAAAAGCAGGGGACGAGGAAGCGGAGGCCGAGGGAATGGAGCAGCCAGAAACCAAAATGGGAACAGTGGCAACACTCAGCAGGGACAAGACCGTCTCATGGCAGCCTCTTCCTGAGCCAGACGCCTTGCGGAGATGCTCCCTTAGGAGGAGACTCTCCCCAACAATCGGAGGAGTTTCTCCCCTTGCCATGTGTGTACAGCTGGTGGAGTTTCTCCCCAGCAGCTGAGTGCAAAATGATCTGCTGCCAATCAGCCAGTGATACATTGCAACCAAGCCGGTTAGCTTTCAAGCTAGTGCCGAAATCATAACGCCGCATAAGACTCTGAAGACACATTCGCTTCCCACTTCACAGCTTGCAGCCCTGAGGGGCGGAGCGTGTGCAAGTGCAGCGCTGAGGCACGGCTTGCCGTGAAGAGTGACCGCGCAAGTAGTAAGCAGGGCACTAGGTCGATCCCTCGCAAAGCGTGGACGATAAGTTTCACCACAGACAGTCCTCCCCCGCTGCGTGTGAATGAAATGTTGTTGTTTGCATCCTCCTTTCAAAGGGGGGCCGAACCAGGTTCGAACCTGGTTTAAACCGGGGGGGGGGGGGGGCCAGCCTCCGCATTGTCCATTCCCGAAAGGTTTCAAAGACAAAAAAGACGACAAATTGGAAAGAAGATTGATGCAGATGATTTGTAAAAGAAAACGAAACGGATTGCTTAAGAATTGAGTGTGTGAATGGCAAAGTATTTTTTGGGAAAGTTTCGAAGACATCACGTTGAAGGACGTGGCAGCACTTGCATGGAACCACCTTTTTCACCTTTTTCATTGCGCAGGTCAGCACCAATGTGCTTTGCAGCTGGAACGATTCGCAGTAGTGAGCGTGAAATAAGTTTTGATGTTGAATACAACCGACTTGCACCCGCACCGGTTTCTCTGCCCCGCTACCGCTAGATTTGAGAAGCACTCCACCCGTTTCATCGCTTCAAATTTTGCTTGTGTTTTTGTTTGAAGTCACAACGCTTTATCACACTTTTGCATGCTCTCGGTTTTTACATTTCCAACCTGCGAAGGAATATAGTCGCCACAGTTTGAACGGTCGTCAGCATGGTTCTGTTTGATGGACTCTGGCTCGTACGCGTCCTGTGTCGTTCTGAGCATCAGACGTTTTGTTGCAGCAGAATCGTGAGACATTTGTTTTGGAGGAGCTTCGGTTGACCAACCGTAATCCCTTATTTCGGCGTTTGTCATTGGCATCTTCTTTAGTGTAGGGTTTGTCATCCCACTACTCATGATCATTGTTTCTTTCATCCAACATCAGTTTCGTTTGGGGTCCCGGGTTTGCCGTCCATGATTGAACTTCTGGAGTTATCATATGAATCTAGGTCTAACTGGTGACTTAATGCTGGTAATGAAAAGTTAGTACTAAAATATAGCGTAATCTTATAGGAGAGTTTACTAATAAAGAGAAACATTAATAACTTCTCCTATAAACTTACAACTATAATCTAGTAAACCTAGCTCCTGGAATCCTGACCTGTGTTTTGCTGTGTGTTTTATTTGTTGGGGATGACTGTCACCGTGTCGTTGGGTTAGGTTGTGTGGTTTGGCATCGAGTGTGTTTTCGGGTTTGGCATATGCCATCCATGAGGCATGCGTCGTGGAAGAAGGCATGTGACCGTTCTTTAGACCAGGAGCTCCTGAATTTTGAATTGGCTTTTGTTATTTCGGAGGCGGATGTTTCAATTGGATTTTCGAGATTGGCGCACAATGTAGAGGTGCGCGTGCATGAATGCCGGATGCTCGCAGCATTTATGGTTATCGATTTCGAAGTGGGATGGCAGCACGTCAAGTATCCCAGGATCGTTTCGGGATGTTGGCTCGTTCCTCGAGTTTATATATGCATGCAAGGTATCCGGGGTTTTCTCCTTGCCAAGACATTGGCACGGCAGGGTGCATGGTAGGCCAAGTTTGCGAGCTTCCATCGCTCTCGGGGCCGGGATGCAGGCTGAGCCTTTGCATTTCCATGAGGCCAGAGAACAATCACGTCGCTTCAGTTTTGCTTTTCTCTGACACTGGTATACAGCCCTCATTGAGGTAGCGGCTGTTGCGGCCGCTGTGCCTGCTGTTTGGTGCGCAGCACTACTGGCCCTTCACCTGTCCAACAAGATGCCTACTTTCGGGAGCGCCGGGCCCGCAGAAGTATCACCCCAAAAGCGAAGCTAGTTGTGTTATGCACCTGGATGAGGCCAGCCCGGACAACCAGCAGGAAGGCTTCTGGGGCACGTTGCCGTCGGTCGGCACCCTTGCCTTCTGTTTCGCCAGTTGAGACAAAGCGCAAGTTTCGACTTATCCATTGGCAGTCACAGGCATGGGATCATCCCGAGCCCAACTACTTGGTAAGTGGCGTTGTGGGCGAGTTCTGGAGCGTCGTGCGGGCACGTTCAGCTTGACGGTGATGTCGGATTCAGAACATTTGTCTTCCAAGTACTGATCTGTTGTCGTCTTTGTTTCTGCTGTGGCAGGTCTTGACCACTATACCAGTGGCAGGGGCGCTGCTATTGTACCTGGGGCTGCGCTTTGGCTATGGCTCCAAGGACAGCTCTGCTTGCAGTGAAAGTCGATCATGAGCGCCCGGCAATCCGATGGCTTGTGGGATGGGGTCGAATGCTGTCCTCTGCATTTCACTTGCGACACGCTGCCAGCAGAGGGCAAGAGTTGGCATGCTGATCAGGTGATGGCGATCTACGCGGTCACTTGCTGTATGTGAGCCCTCGACCGGTTGCAAGCATTGCCCACCTGCTGCACAACCATAACAGAAGCGATGGCAATAACAACAAGAAAAGCATGTGCGACCGCAAGCGCAAGCACGGCGACGGCAACTGCTACAGTGTTAACGACACAGCAACCGCAAGCGAACAACAGCCAAAAGCAAAGCAGCAAAGTCAACATCAGCAGCAGCTGCAGCACTTTCGAAAACACCAGCAACTGCAGCAGCAACTCCCTCTTCGGTGTGTGTTGTGAGCACCTGCTCTATGTTGCGGGCATTTTTGCTCAAGCACGGTGCAGCGCTTCGAGCAAGTTGGAGCAACTGCAAGAAGAAGACCAAGACCAAGACCAAGACCAAGACCAAGACCAAGACCAAGACAAACACCAACACCAACACCAGCAGTGACGACGAGACGATGAGAAGACGAGTGAAGGCTACCGGTCTGTGTTTTCCTGGAGCAGCGATCAGAACGAATGTAAATGACGACGACCGAGCAGCTTGAAAGGTTTAAGGGCTAGATTGTTGTCTCAGTTAGTTTTTGTCCGAACCATGTTCTTGTTCTGGTGGTACTTCTTGGAGAGGTACTCATTAGCCTTCACTGCTCATCTGACACTTCAGATGCACATCTTCTCCACGACTGCGACTTGGGCTGAGTTGTGCATGACTGTTTTTGCATAAGTACATGTCTTGAATAGCATTTTGCTTGCACTACCAGCTTCATTCAACTAGTTTAGCATGAACTGACGATCCCTGCCGGCCGTGACGACAGGTGATTGCAGTGATGAGCAATGTTGGCATCCCAGTTTCCAGACGGGGTCTCCTCTTGCTGCGCTATTGAAATCTGACCTGACGGGATGTTGAAGGGTAGATGGCTTCAGGCTTTCTCCCAAAAGCTCACCTGAGCTTTACTGCATGCCGGAACCTGTTCAGGCATGCCTGTAAAGCGATCTGATGCCGCATCAAGGCGCTGCTGACCTTCGTGATGTTCAGCCACGTGGTGCACAGGGCCTTGGAGAGCGTCCTTTTACGTCCGCTCCTTGGGAGACTCTGGGGCTGCGGGTGCTTTTGCACATCCACCCTGGCCCAGGTGGGGCGATTGTCATCGCTGCTGAGACCGTGCTGGTGCTGGTCTCGGGCTCGCGCAGCAAGAAATGTCCAACTTCCAAGAACCTCGAGGTGAGTACGGTCGCGACTCTGCCATACAGGCTAGAGCATGGTGGAGCCAGGAACTCGGTGGCGATCACACCGAGGACGTGTAGTGTAGTCTACGCCTTTGTGGACTCAGGTCTGGACTTTGTTCATCGTCCAGGCTCCCGGGGTCCACGCCTCGAAAGCCTCCGTTTTTTATGCCTCGCCGAAAGAACTCTCGGGAGCGAAGTGCGAGGTCTTCTTAGCCACGGCTCTCGCCGGCATCATGGTGGGGGCACCCTGCTGGGGTTCTTTTCCACTCGTCTCCTGAAAACCTGCCGGATTCGGAATTCGTAGCCGCCAGATAAGGCCCGGACTTCAAAGAGGGCTGCAGAGAAAGCCACGTACGGCTTGGCATGTGCCCCGGGCTGTTGTAGCCTCGGGTTTGGCCAAGAGCCGGGAAGCTTGCATTCGGAATGGGCTGAGATGTAGTACTTGGCTAAGCTTGTCAGCAAGACGCAGCTACTGGGTAGGTAGTCTTTCCCCGATGCAAAGGTCACCACTGCTGGCAGTCTTCTGAGCTCAGCGATGGCCACCGCCTTCGGCAGTCGCCATTTTTGGCAAAAGTATATGGGTGCAGACAGTGCATTCTTCCCATGTTTCCGGGGTGTTCAGGTCTTGTCCCTCGTGGAGTGCCTTGTTGGATTCGAGTGGTGTTCTCAGCGTCGAGACAGAAACTTCTGCCTGCGAGATGTCCCAGAGGGCATGGCATGCTTGCAGTCTCTGATAGACAGCAGAGTCGCAAGGTGGGGTTTCATCGAGAGAATGTGGGGCTTCCCATGGCTGCACATAGCCATCCACATGCTGGAGCAGGACAAAGTTAATGCCTTGCGTGCAGAGGGGTCAACCACGAAAGCCTTCACGATTGACCGGAATTCTGCTTCATCTATCAGCTCTAGCTTCTTGTTCCGTTTTGTTTCCATCACAGGTGTAAGTACGATGACAGTGCTTGCACGCAGCACAAACACGTACCCTTAAGGATTAGCGCCCATTAGTGGCTCCAGTTGGCAGGTTGGGATCTACGTTTTCGGCGTGGGCGTTGCCGCTCTGGAGGCGGATGGCCGAAAACTTTCGTAGGGCCGAGTACCGGAATAGAGGCTGAGGGAGCCAGGACATGGAGCAAAGCCAAGAAGCGAATGCAAACGCACCACTTTAGAGACATCATAGCACCATCGCAGTTTATGCGAACGGACTGAGCTGCAGCACCGGTCGCTATTTCCCAGACCAGGCTCTGCTCTTGCGGCCAGACGCCTTCAAGGGGGCAGAGGCACCCCGGGTTCGGTTCACTGCTCTGCTTGAATCGTGATGACTGGGACACCAGCTCGAACCAAGGAGAAGGAGCGCTGTATGAAAGGATCATGCCTTGTGAATCACTGTGAATTCACTGCAGCAGCTTGCCCCCTGAGAAGAAGACTGTGTTCAGGTGCGCTACCTCGGTTGGTTTGTATATTTGTATTATCCTGGAAAGTCCGAGTGATGGCCTCAGCAGGTGCAGGTGCTACTGTCAGTGTGTGAACTCCGTCGCGAATCTCTTCGAGTCCGTCGGGCGTGTCATTGTCGAATCGCCTCGCCTTACTGAGCTGCTTAGGCCTCTGGCCGGCTTGCTCAAGAATGCTGGTGATGTGGCCTGGGGCCAATGTCCCCATGTGAGGAACCGGTCGGGCTTTTGCCAACAAATCCCCGAAGCTTAATCCTTGAATTCCGACCTCAGAACGTGACAGGATCTGAATCTTGCAACCCTTTGCTTCGAGAGCGTGAACAGTCAAACGAACACTCAAGATAGCCGCGTTTGTTGCTTGCTGTGCCATGGTGTGCTTATGCCCGATCTGTTATCATCGAATCATTAGTTCTCGTTGGCCATTGATCTCAGCTGCTCTTAGGCACTGTGGCACTTCAAGTCGGGCCTAGGTGAAGCACGGAGCCTCTGTGCAAACTACGGCGGCCATGACTGCCTCAGGTGCACTGCGAGACTGTACCATTTGCCGGTTCACATCGTAGGCATCTAGAGAACCCAGCTTGTGAAGACGACTCGTCTGATTTTCCGCTGCATTTGCACTCGAAGCTCCTCTCGAAGAACGGTCGTGAGCGGAGCCTCTTTTGCCGAGCTGCACGGAGCAAGCGGCACAAGCGAGTGCAGCTTCTCCGAGCGCTTCGAGAGCCATCGAGCTACAAGCTACACGTCCGAGAAGCTTCGGCGGACACCTCCACATGGGATGCGCTTCCCAGAAGATCAGTTACGTCTGGTGTCCCAGGGCGGATACGTGCACTGCACATTCCTGTTCCTTACAAGAACCCCGCTGCGTAGTAAGGTCCGTGAGATCGACATTCCGGGCCAGGATTGCGCCGACAGAGCAACTGCAGTGATTCCTGCAACGGTCTTTTTGAGAAGCCCGTGACAGGCTTCCTCGGCCAATGTCACTGTGGTGCGACTGACGGGGGAGAGGACCTCGAAGTGGATCGGTTTCCAGGCTTCAAGGAGTCTGTACTGCATCGTTTATGCATACTTGACGACGCTCTTGTTCCTAACTATCTCGCCGCATTTTTGTTTGTTGTTAAACGTGGTGGGATTTCACTGCCCCGCCTTTGAAGGAAAGAAGCTCACCTGTGCACCACTATACGACCTGCTGATGGAGTGTTCTGATGTTTCAATGTCATATCGTGTCGCGGCACTCGTAGATCAGTCTGTGGGCAGTTTCAATTTGTTTAAACTCATCCAAAGTCATGCTGGGAGAAAGCTGTGGCTGTGGCACTTACAGAGCGAAATACGGAAGGTACGGCAAAGGGGACAGTGCCGTGGAGTGCCTTTGCGAGTCGCCTTGTGAGTTTGGAATGCCATTCAGAATCATATTGTTTCCATCGTTTCTAGAGTCAGTGCTCGTATTGAAAGCTCACGATTAATGAGATTTGTTCTACACCCTTTTCTGCATGTCTGCTGAAGCTGCCTGCGGCAGGATCTTGGCTCCTTGCCTGCAGGTGAATCGGACCGGATGCTTTGTTTCCCTGTTGCCTCGCTTCCTGCTTCCGCTACACGGTGTCTGATGTGTTCCGACCCGGAAGTGGTGCCAACGTCATTGTAATTAGTTTTAGTATCGTCCCAGAGCCCGAGGACGGCGCGCGTGTGGAGACGCTGACTGTCGGTGAGCTGAAAGAAGAGATCGACCGATGGCGGCATCGAGAGAACTCAGGAGATAGAGGGGCGGCAATGACGTGCTTCTGTCTCTCAGGAGAGGTGCCAGGACGTCCCCGCCTACCAACAGGCTGGTTCCGGTCTGGCAGAATCGCAGAGATCTTCTCGGATGTACCTTACTCGCCACACTGTGTCTCCCCGTGTTGTGCAGCTTTGTCTTGGAGACAGGAGCTCATTTGCGGGTCAGAAGTCCTAGCTGACAGCACTTGCTTGCGAGACTTGGATGTCATGGCGGTTGTAAGCAACGAGTGGCGAGGAAGGCATCTGAGCTTCATTTACACTGTGCTCCGTCGCTGAAGGACAGGTGGCAAACTCACACGATGTCGAGCTGCAGCTGGTAATCCAAGACAGACGCTGTGGAATTCACTTGGGCAAGCTTGTGGATGGTGCTTACTGCAGCTCTGGATGCTATGGGAATCTCGGTCGCAAGCAGTTCCGCGTGCCGAGCATGGCACAGCCTGCCAGCTTCCGAGGACTGTGGACGGTGCCTTCCTCATGAAAGGAGCGACTGAGTACGTCAAGTGGCCGATTCAGCTTCCTGGGGACTTTTCAGTGCGCACTCGCTTCCGCCGCTTTCTGCAAGACTAGTATAGCAGTTCTTTTTGAATCTTTTTGATGCTTTTTGAGGCGGCTTTCTCGGATGGGTGAGGGGAGAGCTGATGCCAAGGGGTGGCTCATTCGGAGTTGACTGCTGTGCTCTTCGTTTTTTGGGACACGGCGCCGAAGGGAGCCAGGCATCCTTACTTTCAGTCCCACCAGATGGACTGTGACGGAAGCTGGCTTGACCAAATAGGCTTTGCCGCACGGCTGCAGTTTCGATGATTTACGGGATCTGGGGAGGGGTGCTGCTGAAGATGCTTCTGCAGTCGCGTGCTTGTACGTTGGACGTGTTGACCCGTGCCTGCCAGGTGGTGAACCGCCAGGGCAGCCATATCCTGAAGTCTGGCGCACACTGGGGCTCAGCCGTCCTCTTCCCGGGGGAGGTCATGGAGTGCCTTGGCGACTGGCTCTGAGTCTGGCTCTGGCCCTGGCCTCGCAGCTGCGGCGGCTGAAGCCAACTGAGGCCCCAAGAGTGGTGTGGAGAATGGCACGATGTCGCTCTGGAGCGCCATTCCGGCCAGCTCACGGTGACTGTTGATGGGTGCCTCAGTGAGAACTTACGCCCCGCTCGTTGTTGGGTGGGTAGCGGGGGGTGGGCTGAGAAAGCACGGGATCCCGAATTCGCATCCTGTGAAAGGAAGACCGCGATGACGGCCAGCAACCATGCTTCGTTGGGAAAGATTCTGGGTTTGATTCTGTCAGCTGCTTCAGAAGGACTCGGCCCTCAAAGGGGTATGTATGATGAGTATTAGCCGAGGCATGGCGTGGCGTGTGGCAGCAGTTGGCCTGCGTCCACATCATGAGTCTCGAAGCGCGATTCAGATCCAGCGTCTGAGCTTGGACTCCTGAGCACTGTGAGGGAGCTGGCGAGCGTTTAAAGTAATTGAATTCCTACTCAAGACCGGAACTTGGCACCTCCCGATTTGGTCTTGGCAATGTTTCCGGTGCATAGCAGCTCCTCATCGAATGCTCTTTTTTGCAGCTGAGCTGTCTTGTGAAGCCAAGTCGTTGCCAAGTATTACTGGCTTGAAGCCTTAAGGGCAGAAGCCTAGTTTGCACGAGCCAAGTGTCCAGAATGCATGTGGGAGGTGTGAAGCGGAGCCTGCATGAGTAGTCTCCTGTCCAAGACAGCGCTTCCTCTGTACAGGTGCACCAAGGCAGAAAGCTGCCAATGAAGAATATCTTGTCTGCAGTTGTCCCAGCGCCCACTGTGGAAGCTCTGGGCGGCGCATCATTGCTGGTCTGCCAGATGCAGCTTTGAATGCTCCTGTGCAGCCAGCAGGCACCTTAGAAGCACCGTTTAGCACGTCCGAGCGCTTGTTCGTGCTATACGGGAGAGGAACGACCAACACGTCGGGGAACAGTGCGCGATCTCTTTTCAACATTCATTTGCCGTGAGATGTGGGACATGTGCAGTTGTTTTCAGCTAGTGGCTGCTGAGATCCTCGTGACGCATGCATCGCCAGGTTTGGAGGCCACACAGACACAGATTCCCAGGAGCCTGAGCTGTCATGGTGTTAAGGAAGATGTCGGGGGCGCTTGGAAAGGCAGTGTTCGTGCCAGGAACGGCATCGAGGCGGACGTCCCGGCTCGTGGGCTCTCAGGCGAGAGTCAGAGTTTCATCCCGCCGCATGGGAGACCCTGCCCTCCGAGGCCAAAAGCCGTCTCTTGGGGCAAATGGCCGCCCGGGCCAGCCTGCAGTGCATGGCCTCAGCCAGCTCCTGCTCCGATCTCCGATCCGGCGTGCAGCTCGTGCGGTATGGGTCTTGCGTGACTGTCCAGGCGCAGGAGGCGTTGCAGCGTCGGAAACGAACCGAGAGCAGGGTCCCGAGTGTTTGGCAAAGTGTGGAGGAGTTGTTCACTTTGTTCAATGACATTCGTGCCTTCGCCGAGGCCCGGGCGTGTCAAACCTGGTTGCCGGATCCTCGGAGGGGGCCGGACGAGCGAGCGGCTCATTAGCCCGGGCTGCTCAGGCAAGACCCAAGGGCCCGAAGCCAGGAGACACGTGAGGAAAGATGCGAGGCTGCACTGCGCGCGTCAGCGCAGCCCTGTAGATCCTAATGCGAGGATGAGTTCACTGCTGAGGGCTCTCGTAGCTTGCTAGCAGACGAAAGCAGCACCGTCATCCGTGTTCCGTGCCGGAGACTCCTCAGCTGTTTGAGTTTTGCCGAATCTGAGCTTGGGAAGAGCGTGACCAAGTCGACTTGGGTGCCGATGAACTTGACTGATCGCTTCTTTGTACATTCTTGTTAAGTGTAACGCTGCAGCCGTTCACGCTACTTGAAGGTCACAGAACTGTTTTCGCAAGACCCACAAGCCCACAAAATGTGGGTCATCGACGAACGACGCGTAAATCGGTTTATTTACGGTGGCAAAGAGCTGCCGCCCTAGCACGGGAAGCGTCGCTTCCTCCAGGTTTCCAGGTGCCTCAGCAAACGCTACCACTAACTTATCTTCCAAAAGTCTGCACTGGAGCCTTCTTTGAGCCTTGGTCCCAGTTTTTTTGAGTCACCTGAGCTCGAGATCCGTTTACAGACGGTACTTGGAGCGGGGGAAGCACCCGATGCTCGCCTCGGAATCAGTTGCGCAGAGCTGGTTGAGGCCCGGGTTTCCCGTTTCACTCTCCTCTGACCGGGTCAGAGGAGCCGAGTAATTCACTGGATCCGGCCATGAGCCGCCCATGGGCTGAAAGGCTTTTTTTGCGTATTTCGGCGTAGACGCGAGGGTGGTCCAGTGGTTCTTGGTGCTGCGGTGGGTCGGCTGCTTGGGCCGATGATCGGGGCGGGGCCCTTATGGAGTCTTTGCTGTCGGACGTCGGAGTCCGAGTCCGAGGTCTCCGACCGGTATCCGAGCTATGCAAATTTTCGGTAGAGCGTGGACACGCTCTAGGACTCTAGAAGATGTCCCGCGGTGTCGAAAACACAGCAGCTGGAGTCTGGAGTGTGGAGTAGGGTGTTGCAGGTTGTCTTATGTAGATAAATACAAGGCTGTCGGAGAGCTTTAGGTTGAGCTTCGAAGGGCAAGCTTGGATTGTTTCGTGCACATCCACGAAATTTGATATGCAGGCAGTACACAGATCCGAAGTTCAAAGCACTTCCTGCGACTTCGGCTTAGGGAGGGGTGGCTGGGGGGACTCTTTCGGCCAACGGCCGAGGACTGCGCCCATGACGTCGGATCCTCTTCTGGGTCTCTTTGCTTGGGCCCCGCAGGAGTCCTCTGGCCATGTGCCGATAGTGGCCATCCTCCTGAGGCCTGGCACTTCGGGTTGGGTGGAAACGGGCTCGGTTATTTTGCGTTGAAGGCAGCAGTCACATCCGGTAACTAAGATTCCGTGGCATGTGGTCCAGGTCAGGATCGACAGGACCTGACATTCCTGGTCCCTGCACTCCTGATCTTTTCCCATCAGCATCCGGAGTGGTCAGAGGTCATCTTGAGGTTCATAGCGAGTGGGTGCCTGGAGAATTCTGCGACTGGACTTCCACTCCTATCCATAGCCTCTCATTCTATTACTTGCTGGCACCAGTCGTAAGTTTGGACCTTAGGAAGAGCCTTGTTGAGGCATAGCAATGAAGCGTGGTGCTCAGAGGTCAATTGACATGGCATTACTGTTGGTGAAGGGCCACCATGGTCATGGGGTAGCGAAGCGGCTTTGATTGGAAACCGCAGCCCACAACCTCTGATGCTGCTGTCATCGCTGGCTGTCACTAGAAGCCAGCCGTAAGCAGTACACAGATGATGCCTAGCGTCTTTAGAGTAGTTGCCGGACGTTGCTCTTGAACACATGGATGGCCCACATAGGAAGGGTGGTGAAGGGACTCATTTGCGTAGTCGAAGGAGGGCATGCAAACATGCACGTTCTCTACGTACGAAACTTGTAATTTGAATGGCTTTTGGTGGTCGGTTGTTGCGCCGCTGACACAATTCGCGATTTTTGCCTTGGCTCCTATGCTTTACAAGCTGTACATAGCTAGGCATCAGTTCGTCGATCCGATTCACGGACCATCTCCCCGCAGTCCTGCAACGTCAAGACTATCGTAGCACACGACGACACGAAACCGTCAATAACACACTCCACACCTGACTGACTTGCGGTTTCCTTTTGTGGGCTGCTTTTTGACTCTTAGTTTTCGATCTTGTCCACGCTGTTCCTTCGTTCCCTCCGCTAGTGCTATGCACAGACATGCTGTGGCAAAAGGTTCAGACTATTTTGCCAGGCCTGACAAAATCTGGTCCAACCACGCTTAAACCACGTGCTATTCTTGCAAGGAGCCGCTGTATACCAGTTTGAGTTCTGGTTAGTTGGCTGCGAGAATCTGCGGCAAGTGACAGCTTGATGTTGCCTTTCGCGTTATCCGACCTCCTTCCAGCATCGTGAACAGAGTTTCGGTCCCCGTGAGCTGAACCTGTTAAGGTTCCTTTGTCTGTGGCTGCTTCCCTGGCTCCAGGCCTGTAGCCACTTCGTACACTTCGCTTATGTTGTGATTTTCACCGCTTGTGCGTCTTGGGTCTGATGAGGCCGGCCATGTTGCTGAGGGAGATGTTGCACTGAAGAGGTCTCTTGGTGAATTTCAGATCCGACTAAACTTTAGGCTACACAGGCGCAGGCCGTGTATAAGGATAGTCGGGCTTCAGGCAGTGAGGCTGGACCAGTCTCGTGGGGAAACCGGAAGCATCTTGGGTTTAGTTTTATGTGCTGCCACCCCACAGTGGCCGGTGGCTGGGTAGATCAACCGAGGGGGTTGAAGCATTTTGGGTGAAGCTTGCATTCCTTGATGCTGCTAGCCGCCGCTGGCCTGGCAGGGTTTTGCTATGCATGGTGTTGAATCATACCTCAATAAATTTATGGTGTCACCTCCGCAGGTTTCAGCATGTTTGCTCTTCGATTGGAAGTATCAACAAGAGCGACAACCGCAAGCCCAAGCGACGGTGCCATTAACAAGGGGCAGTGGCCGCAACTCGGCGCCCTCCTATCAAGCCTTTAAAAGCCGAGAGCCCTTAGGAATCTACCCCAAGGGTGTTCCCGAACTGAACAATCACAGTCGGGAGTCCTGTGTAGAAGGTCCGAAGAGGCAGAGGCCCTGCAAACGCATGCGGTCTCGTCCGTCGTCGATCTTTTGAAGGCAGGGATCAGCTTTGCACAAACTTCTACATCAAGGAGCCAATAGCTTGAAGCCTTGCCTTCGGTCAAAACAAATGGAAGGTTGCAATGTCGGGTTTCGTGACACTTGCGATGCTTTGCGTGGATGGCTTTGGGTGGAAGAGATACCTCCGCGGAATGCAGCGATCTGCCTCGGTATGCCTCAGTCTTCTGTCTGCTGAGAGCCGAGGCCTTGAAGCATCTGTTTTTTCCGTGGCATTCGGTGTCGCGAGGCAATGTCAAAGACCATCGCGCAAGAGAACGAGGAGGACCAGAGAAGCTACGAGAAGCTTCAATGTTCCTGGGATTGACATCAAGCTGCCTCCCAGCTGCCCTGAGGCGTTAGGTTGCCACGGTCCCAGCCACCTCTTGCCCGTGAAACTCCTGCTGCCACTGCTCCTGCTGCTACCACGGTGGTTATATCTGCTGTTTCTCCTGGTGCTAATGCTGCTACTGCTTGCTACGTGTGCCGCTTGCGGGCCTGGTCTCTGGACAAATCTGGACTCAGTTCTGCAGTACAGCTCGGAGCCATCGGAGAAAGTTATCTTTACGTTGGATGCCTTTGATCACCTTCCGGGTAATCCAAACTAAGGCTGGTGCTCCACAGAGAAGCCGGACCCCTGGCAACGCGACAGGTTGTGCTTCCGAAAGCAGCCACGGCCCTTGAGGAAGGAGAAGACGGAGACCATCGATGAGGGATCGGCCTGGGCCTCGACAACGAGCACAGCGGCGTAGCCTGAAGCCACGGCTGCAGCAGAGGCGAAGCTGGCGGAGGTTGAGCTGGATCCTAAGGGTCTTATGGCCAAGGTTTTTGGGGCAGGGCAGCACGGCTGCACCCGCCAAGAATGCCTGGGCCTAGGTCGTCCCTTGACAGCTTGGCGGCTTCCCGCACTTCTCACGAGATCCGGATCAAGGCCCTGCCATGAAGATCCTTTGGTGATCAGTGGGACGGGGCCCAGAGCCCAGGAGCTGCAGCAGCAAATTGCTGAAGGGCAAGAGGCCCTGGAGAAGGCCAAGCCATGCCGCACTCCGAGCGGCGACCATGGTGTTCTTTTCTACACCCGGCTCCGATTGTCCGCCTGTACGGATGCTGTGGGCCGTTGGACACGAGAGCTCAGATTGTGGCCCAGGTTGTGGTCTTTTTTTTTGGGCAGGAGGTGTGTCTGTCACTGATGTGACAGGCCTCTGCCGTCCGCAAGGATCAGAAGGAGAAGTTCGACAGCAGAAGCCTCGTATGCTGTCGTGCTGTCTCGCCCATACGGCACCGGAGTTGAGTCAACAAAGCTTGCCCGGTCGATGATGTGCACATCATTGAGAGACTTCAGGTTACGAAGCTGACACCACCACCTATTTGGTTAGCTTGAAGGCACGTGGCGGGAAGCGCCCTGTTACCTCTCAGTACCGCCCTCTGTCACACAGTGTACGGCAATGTACGGCACGAGGCAGCGATCGAAGTGCTCACAAAAAAGACGGGGCAGACGGCCTTGCCTTCGGCCCAGACCGGAGTGGCGGCTGGTGGCGAGCATCACAGACTTGCGGCGGCTCAGGCCACAAGTGTCTGCTTTTATGCAGATCTTCTCGCAACCGTCGCCGCTGCCTCGACTGGCATTAGTTGAGTCAGATGAGTCGAAGCGGCATGCCAGAAGTACTGAGTACATTGAATACATCGTGGAAAAGAAGCTAAAGCTTAGACTTGCATGATCGAGGGCGGCCACGGCCGTGATTTCGGGAGAGGAGTCAGAGGTGCGGCTGCCGCTCAGAAGCCTCGACAAGGGAGCCTGCAGGCGCTGCGAGCCTGGGAGGCCGACTCGGACTCCCTGACCTTGCCGGAGTCGGAGGACGTCAGGCACCAGCCCTTCCGCCGCGCCCCACCCGTCATACCCCGTCCGATAAAAAAACGCTTCAACCGGGAACCCAAACAGCCCCCATCCTCCTCTTGGTCCAAAAAATAGCGGCGCCTTTTTGAGGACGGCGGAGGCGGCTTTTGAGGCGCCCGGGCCCGGGCCCCCCATGGGGAGGCTCCGAGGCCGGAAACGCGAGATTGAGATGGGCTGTGGGGTTCTCTTCAATCTTTAAAAAAGGGGAGCTTTTAAAAAGGGTATGCTTCTTGCTCACGGTGTTAGTGCAAACAGTGGAGCAGTGCTCTGTGCTCCGGCTTGGCTGTTTGGAGTTTTGCTGAGGCACTTTTTGGGGCACTTGTAACTGTTATAATTCTGTTTCGAGCCTTGCAAGGAAGTGCGGAGGGGCTCGACGCCACAGAGGGTTGGTCCGCAGAGGAAGAGGCACGATGAAAGGACGACTTGAGTCATGACCAGTGAAAGCGGGGATATTGAAGTCACGGCGGGACCTATCTTGAACAGTTCCCACGGTATGCTTGCACTTGCCTGAAGGGGTCGCGATCACGAAGATTATCTTCAGAAATCGTCAGAAATATTCTAAGCATCAACACCATTTCTTGGCCTTCGAAGGAGCGTCGATCACGAAATCTAAGCGTCGAATCTTCAGGTAAGCACCTCCACTGTGCACTGCAAGCCGAATCCGGGCCCGAGCCTTTGCAAATCCCACGTGCAGGCCGTGGTGAATCGGGGCCTCGGCGCTGCCATGTCCTTTGCGCAATCGGCGCAGGGGCGGAGCGTAGCTGCCCGGCGCAAACAGCGAGTCGCAGACTGCGAGACTTCGGGAGACTGCGAGGGTTACAGGTTCCACATCACGCCCCTTTAAAATATCACCTGAGGAGCTGTACAGTCCTGGCTCTACTGGCGAGCTTGTCGGCATGTTCCAGCAGATGCTGTCGACCATGGAGGCCTAAAAGGGAAACCACCCGACGCCTACTCGAGAGAAAGTCAGAGTTTTAACCGCGAGTGTACGTAATTTGTGGCGAAACCGAGTGGGTCAGGCTGAAAAGCTATTTTTGATCTCTTGATCCAGTGACCCCGGCCTGTCTATATGGTCGAAGCTCCGACGAAGCCCTCGTGTGGAATCGACTCTGGTTGGCCAGGCAAAAGCACTTTTGTTGCACTTTCAGATTTAAAAATCTCCGCTACAGTTTCTGTTGAACCGAAAGCGTTCTTATCTTTTGCACTCTGAATTTCCAAGGGCTGAACAATTGCATCTACTAGTCAAGCCAAGTCCTTTTTTCCCACATATGCTGTCCGACTGAGGGGGAATGAGTTTCCATCGTTCGCCTGCCCTTCCAAAACAGACCCGTTCACAGAGGTCCCTCCCGACTAGACGGTTGCACTTGCACTGATCCCACCTCACAAGCAAGCGATTGGCCAGGAGGATCTGAAAGATGCACGGACCAAGGACCGCTCCTTCTGCCCTTCATTCGTTTATTTGCTTCTTTGATGAGCCGGAGGAGAGCCAGGCGGCTGCAGACTCCGAGGAGCTGCGGCAGGCCCGGCTCCAGGCGCGGCTCCGACCGTTTTCGAGATGAGGTGACTGCCGGAAGGGACTAAGTCGACTAAGCTAAACTGAAACCCCTTGCATTACACGCTGCAATCGTGAATCTGACCATTGAACTCAGCTTCATCGAACATGCAGCCCATCCACTTTCTGAGCAACGCAGTTGGTGCTCGGGCGGACCTCTGCTGTGCCAGGAGATCCATCAGGCAAACAGCATGGTGGACCTGAAGAAGAGAGAGAGGGCACACGCCGGCGAGGACGGGGTTCAACAAGTCTGAACGGGCCTGCTTGCGGCTTCGGCTCATTGACCGAAACTGGAAGTGCATCAGATTCGAGAAGTATGTGGGTCAGCACACACATTGGCTAACAAAGGTGCAGCTTTCTGAGGAGAACTTGTTAAGACAGCTTCGACAGGAAGTCCCCCAAAGTGACAGCCCAAGTCTATGTAGTGGGTAGGGCAGCCAGTGCCGGTAGACATAGTCGGCCAATCTAAACTCTCAGTCGTGTTGAAGTTGAAGAGGGATAATTTTAAACGCTTCGCGTCGTCCGCCTCGGCCCGGCTGTGCTTGAAGCTGGAGCTGGTTGTCTAACGCGATTTTTGCCTTGCCGAAGAAATTTCGCGAGGCGAGAACCTTCAAACGGATGACCTCTGCGCAAGTCTTTGCATAAAAGCGCGGTTGTCTAGCAGGGGAGGAAGGGGTGATTGGGGAGGAGGCGGCGGGGGGGGGGGGGGGCAAGGAGAAAGCAACAAAAAGGTAAGTGAAACTGCCCTACAGCCACCTTGGGGCTCATCCAGAGGTTCACACAGAGGAGCGGGGAGGTCAGGCAGGCAGGTTTGGAGTGGGGGGTGACTGGGGAGGGGAGGTGGGGAATAGAGAGAACCGTATAGGAACCTCTGACCGCTTCGGCCGGGGCCGAGGCGAATTCCTTTTCGCTGCAAGTTGCAAGAGCTGGACTTACCACTCAAACCGAATCTGTCCTCTCGCTTCTCTCATTTTCGACTCGGTGCTCCGAACTCTTGATAGCTTGTTTGAGCTCGCCAGGCGATCGCCCTGGCCAAGGCGGACAAGAAGCAGCTCGGCAAGGCGGGAGGGAGGCTACAGTAGAGACGAAGGCATCGAGTTGACACAAAGCCTGGGCAGCCCGTTCGGGGTCTCGATTTCCATGCTCCGATTAAGGTCTCTGAGTCGTTTGTTAACATGGTTAACCAGCTCATCTTCTGACCGCACGATCAAAAACGTGAATGGTTCCAGGTGGTGGACACAAGCCGGGAGTCTCTGGCCACGATCAGCAAGCGCTGTGAGGACCGGCATCTTGGACTCTACCAACAGCAACAGACGTCGTCCTCCCTGCGAGGACTCCGAGCGGGGGCACCGCCAGCGCATGGAGGCACGGAGCCGGGAGGACGCAGCCATCCTCGAGACTATCCAGGCGGGAGCTGGCTTTAGATACGAGAATCCACTGGAGTGAGCTCTCCTCAAAGCAGGTCTTGACTGACGGTTCGACGGCAGTGAGCTTCCTTCAGCCACCCGCCCGCGCAGAAGTGCTTATCGGCTTTTTGTCCGCCTCCGAGCGAATCTCCGAGGTTGACTGCGACAGCGAGGAGTTCAGGATCCGCCACCGCGGAAGTTCTGGCCATGAGCGAGAGCGACTCTTTTGGCAAAGTCCGAGATGCAATCGATGGGATGGTCCGTGAACTGAAACAGCAACAGCGCCTGGACGTGAAAGAGAAAGACTGGTGCAAGCAGGAGCTCGTCCCGGAAGAAAGCAAGTCCTGTGCAAGAGAAGAGCGTAATCTTCACGATGCAAAGCTGAGACAAGTCTACTTATAGCAGTGCCTGTGTCTCTGTGGTGCAGGAGTTCTTTGAGAACCAGAAGGCTGCCAATGCTGCAGCAGATCACCAGACTTCCTTGGAGCTTCGCTCTTCTCAGATGGAGTCAGACATCAAAACTCTGCAGGGGGACCTGGACCACACCAGCCAAAAGCGAGAGCAGCTGAAAGGACAGCTGCAGACGGCTTCGGAGGAGCGCAAGGAGGAGCAGAGTGCCTTCCAGAAGACGCAGTGGGACCAGCAGATGACACTCCGCGCCCTCCGACAGGTGGGTCGCCGTATGGCATGTGCTTGATCCATCCTCGGCAAATCATTTAGAACTAGCGGCTGAAAATCCCTTCTGCTCCTCTGTCTCTGCTGCCTGCATCTCTGAAAGGCTTTCCGAAAGCTCTCCGGTGTCTACGGACCAGCGTCCTTCCTCAGCCGGCCGCGGGAGGTGCGCTTCGCAGGGCTGCAAGATGCAAAGCAGGGGGACCACGAGATGTTTCGGGGTTATGGCGAAGTTAAGGGTAAGATCTCAGTTGATGCTTGCATGATGGCATGGCGACAGGCCGCAGGCTACCGCAAGAATCAGATGGGTGGAACGGTCCTGAAGCTGCTGCAAACGCTAATGGCTGATGCGCAGGACCTGGTGACTCGGTTTGCAGCTGTCACCGTCGCATGACGGAGGTCCTTCATCACGGCCCCGGGTAGGTGTCACAACAGCCGGCCTGTGATGACACTCAGGATAGGATTGAGGCGATTGGTACAAAACTTTGCCAGCCTGTCGACCCCTCAAACCGATATTAATTATTAATTAACATTAAAAATCCCCAAGCCATGGATCCCTAAAGTGCTCTGGTAAAGTCAGAGTTCGGACACCCAAGGTCGACAAGGCGGCGCTGGCAGAGAACGAGGCCGAGGTCGGGTTCCAAGCAGCGAGAAGCAGCCGAAGAGCTACTGCTACTTCTTTACGTTATGATTCCTGGCATTGTAAGAAACGTAGTTCAGCAAGCAAGCTTTGAGTAAGGACAAGTGCGTACTAGGCTGTTTCTGGAAGATGATCGTCTACTAGAGCATAGAAGATTATGAAGAAGGAACCAGAATGTGAGCATCCTGAAACCTCCGGAAGAGTGATTCGCACGCCAAGAATGACGAAGCTGAACAGCGGCATAAGCAAACCTAGGCCGCCATAACCTAGCCCTTTTCTAGCCAAGCCAAGTCAAGCCTGAGCTAACCATAGCCCAGCAAAGCCATATCACGCCTGAGCTCAAAGCGCCCGACGTAAACCCCAACTCTCACCTAACGTCTCCTACATGCGTTCCGGTGCCTGTGGAGCTACAGGACCGGTTGGAAAATGCAGTCTTCTGTCTAAACCTTTGGAAAACACTCAAGTGAGTTGGGGTAATTAGCGGTTCAGCTGAGACTGGCCTGGGCTAGCCAGGTTTGGTCAAGTAAGGTGGCCTACTGTCTTGCTTGTCCGAGCGATACTGCTGAAGCGAGGACCTGACGGCATGTGTGCACACACTTTTTGGCAAGTGTGTCCCGGCGTTCGATGCGATGAGGGTGATGAGCAAGATGGTGATGCTAATGGTGCTGATGATGGCGTTGTTGTTGATGATGTTGACGTTGACATACGTGACGTGCATGCGCCCGTACATCCACACATGTTTTGCTGTCACGACGACGGCATTCACTTGGCCTTGGTGGCCGGACTTAGCTCCAGGAATTTCCCGTTGCAAGTCGCTTCTCCGTGGGCTGCCTACGACCAACCCGGGCACAAGGGGGGCAAGGGGGCCAGTGGCAGCGGCAGGACTTTCATCTCGAGGGAAAAGAGCTTCCACTCGAAAACAAGGGCTTCTGCCAGCCTTGTTTTTCATTTGGCTTGCCCGGGATGAGGCAGGGTGTTAGGCCTTCACATGTGGAGTCCCGGGTGTCTGCTTGGCTTGGCCATTTTTCGAGCAAACCCGAAAGGGTCAGTTGCCTGTGGCTTCGGCGCATGTTGTGCTTTGTGTGCACAGTGATGGCAACATGAAATTCGCTCGAATGACTAGTCGTGCAAAATGTATCATGCACAACCAACTGAGGAACCCCACAAACCTAGTCCTTTCGTAGTACTAGCAGGATGAGTCGTGCGAACAGCAGCACCAGCAGTGGCTATGCCGCTAGCCATTTAAATCAAGTCATAAGGTGAACCTTAACATCCTAAGACTTCGGAAGACGCTCAGGTCAGCTATGGTCGTTTTGTGGAGGAGACCGTCTCACTTGTGCTGCCTCCATGATGCTCGATGTGCGTCTTTCGAGTTTTTCGAGACACTCTTGCTCCTCCACAGTTGTGGTACATGCTGCGCTGCACAAGACGGTGGAAAGTAAACAGATGGCGAACAAAGATCGAGTTCCGCCCGTGAGATTCGTACGGCTTCGACCAGGGGCTTGTGCAAGGGCTAGTTTTGATTCTCCCGTGAAATCACATGACCATCACAGGAGACGAAAACAATGCTGGAGTCACTTCAAGCGAACACGCTGGCAAAGTCGCGGGCGAAACTTGGGTGCAATCAGGTTTAGTACTTGAGAGTGGGGCACATAGACGAATCGATGCATTTGCAGGGCTGGCTTATCGTGTTTGCGGCTAGACCTTTGCTTGAGAGGGGCAAGAACACGAAACGCAGATTGGACTTAGTGCCGGCACCCGAGCACAGCAACAGTTGATGGCACGATTGCTGCAGCTGCTGACGTGCTTGCAGTTGACGGTTAATGTGCAGCAGCAGCGCTGGGACAACTCGAACCGTCGCAAGACACATGAAGCCACGTCATTCATCACTGTGAATTCTTGACGCACGCAAGGATCGCGACAAGCAAGAAGGATTTCGTCCAGACTGAGCAGGATGTCAGGCTGAATGCTCAGGACATGGGTGATCCCAGCTTCCCAACACGAAACCTGTCAATTCCCATCACGGCTTGTTTCGCATCTCCGACCATATGTACGCCTTGCCTCATGAAGGAGCAGCACGACCTGGCAGTGCAGAAAGCTAATCTCAAGGCAACGCACTGCCGGAGATTTCCCGACTTTGAAGCAGGCTACCAGCGGATTCCAGAGATCATGGTGTCCTGGCAGGCCCAGTGCGACTCCTTGATCAAGAACTTTGACGAGATAAGCAACAAACGGCAGTCGCAGATTGAGGCATTCTTGGGGCACCAGTGTGAAAGTGAGCACAGGGTCAGGGTCGACTCAATGGTCCTAGCCATGCAGAGACGTTGTCCCGGATTCCGAAGCCAAAGCCGCAAAGCATGCAAGCACTCGTGTGTTTGAGCCCTTCAAGCCGAACTGCTGGGTTTGTAGCAGGCGCTGACCCAGTCGAAGGTGGTGTTGGCAGACTGAAAGCCGTGAGCTGTCGCAAAGAAAGAAGGGTGCGAGCTCGGGTCCTTGTCTCAAGACTTTCGATGGTGTAGGTATGGCTCCTGTTTGTGTAGTGAAATAAACTTGCACGCTGCATGCTCAGCGTTGAGTTTTGGCTGCCGGGTGCAGCACCGCTTCAAGCCCTGCACCTTCCACCAGCGAGCCCAAGCCCAACTTCAGCCGCAAGCTTCAGCGCCGCACTTTAGCCCTTGTTATCCACCAGTGACGAAGCAGATTTGTAACTAAGACAGATGCCGCAAGCCAGACGGAAGCACAAGCCAGTCGCAAACTGCTCCCATGGTGCGACATCGGTGGCGCAGAGCTACGGCGCCGTCCTTGGCGGTCGAAAGCAGGGGGGGTAGGCGCCTTCGAGACACTCTCCGGAAGACTCTGAACGCCACTAAAAGTGTTGGAGCTCGTGCCACGAGCTGTCACGAGCTTTGGCAAGGCTTCTGCACAAGTTGATTCCGAGAATGTTGCTCCAGCTTGCAGCAGGCAGCCACCGTGGTATATGATGATCCACATCGTAATTCCGGCAATCACGTCCCGCAAGCGTCCTAAGTTCGTGTTTTTTTCCCAGGCCTGCATCACTGGCATAGTGACCAATGCAGTAGTTTCTTGCATCTTAATGAATAAGAGGGCATCCATTCCGCTTGCCTAGCGAGAACGCCCGTGCGATGGAGTCCACGACCATTCCGGTCACCGCCGAGAACTTTGCTCAGGCAGAGACTGCCTTCAACTATGCAAGGTGGTGCAAGCTTGGCGCTGACAAGGGGATTTTCCATTACCGCGAGGTGGCCCCAACAGGGGCGCAGGCTCCCACGGTTCGGATGAACTGGGACACCCTGTACTCAGCTCGAATCGTAAGGGTTGGTGAAGAGAAAAGCGTCACCGTCTTCCTGCCAGAGGAAGAGCTCTACATGTCGGCGCATGTGGTTGATGAGAACGGCTTTGCTCCCCATTACATCATCGAGCAGGGAGATCACAAGCTGAAGGTTGATACTGAGTATGCCTGGATCCTCTTCCGCACTGAGATTCTTGACCGCCGCTCTGAGGAGTTGCTCAGGAAAGCCCACGCTGCACAGGACAAGATCAAAGTGACCGGAATGATGGAGGACAGCACCTACACAATGCCGAACTATGACCAGGAGCAGTTGAGCAAGCTACGGGGTGAATATAAGGCGGAATGGTTGAAAGCAGGGGGCAACTGCACCTATGCGAGGGGACCTGGCCGGGTCGATCAGCACAGCCTGAACCTGTCGCATGCGGCTGGGTGGGGTGGTATGGAGCCAGAGCTGCAAGTATCCAACGCTTACTACACAAGTGAAACCATGTCCGGGGACGTGGCACGTGCCATCACCTTCGAGGATCCGAAGAACAAGTTCTTCACCTCCTTCACGCTGTATGACGAAGATGGCTACCTCATGGAGGGTGAGACCCACATCAACAGCAAGATGTGGAAGCCTAACCCGGACGGAACCATCACCATCCACTTCAACACTAAGGATGAAGCCATTAACAGCCTGTCCTCCGGGGGCAAGCCGTTCAATTACGTGGTGCGGAATTATGGTGTCAGCCAGCTCGTCATTGATGGCAAGTCGAAACCACTGAAACCAGAAGTCGTGAAGGACTGACCCTGGCTTGAAAGGCTGCAGATGAAGAGTGCCAAGATCCACCCTGTGAAGAGTTAGCCGGTCATGTGTTGAGTGAACATTCCCCCTTGACATGACTCAGTAGCTTTGCTGGTGATCCTGACCACTCGGTGGCTCAAGCCGCATCGTGGAGCGATGCTACGAGAAAAGGCAGAAGTGCTGTAGAGTCCAGCTGTGCGCGTGTGCTTTCTCCTCTGCCAGCCACAGCTGGTAGCGGAGCGTGGTTCGTTATGGCCACGCCTGATGCCGAGCCCAATCCTGCGCACCCTGAAGGTGAAAGCCATGCACCAGCTGAACAAGCAGCCACTGCCGCTCTCGAAGTTCCTTCGACGATCGCGGCAAATGAAGGTCAGCAACAGTGGGATGCTGAATGGAGCTGGGGCAACAGCTGGTACTGGCCTCGCTGGTATCAGGGACCATGGTCCAGGACGGAGTGGAGATCTCGCGACTACACCTACGGGACCTGGCCGGCCTCGGCTCGGGAAGCACCGTCTGCAGCTCCTGAGGGCAGGAGTGGCGAGACGAGCAGCTCAGTGCCCACTGCTGACACGCCAAGCCCAGGACAGTCCGGGGGAGGACTGCCAAGCGGCTCCACGAGCGCTATGACATCTGCGCCGGCGGCCAGTTCGACGGCGTCTACTGCACGACCGCCCTCGGCGACTACGCACGCCTCGAGCCCGAGCCCCGGGACTACCTCGATTACTCGACCAACGGATACCTCATCAGACCCTTGGGCGGAGGCAGCTCGAGCTCTCATTAGAGCGGCTACTCCGAGTCAAGCAGCTCCAGCGAGCACGCCTGACACGGTTCCCGCCCGGCGAGAAGAACAGCCTTGGACCACTGAGCGTCATTCCGATCGCTGGCGTGAGAGCCCCGATCGTTGGAATTCCTCCCAGTGGCAATGGCCTCAGTACAAAGGCGACTTTAGCGATCCTCCAGCTTGGCCAGGATGGTCCTACCGTCGTCAATGGGCAGCGGCAGTTCGCCGCTGGGATAAGATGTCGGACCTTCCCGTGGACAGGCGGGCAGAGAAACTTCTCCGCACGCTAGGATGGGAGCTTCAGGTAGAGTTTGAGCACTTGTCTGAGACCACTTTGGCGGGCACAGGCTACCTGGAGGCAATCCTTGGCGTAATGGAGATGCGGGCTGGCGTCAGGGAGGACGAAGAGAAGCGAGAGGCCTTCAGAGGAGTGATGCATGAGTGCAACCGTAAGCGGAACGAGTCTCTCGCCCAGTTCGCAGCTCGGCGTCAGCGCGACTACTCCAAGGCCGCGAGCTTCGGGATCGTCCTACCGCCGGAGTTCCGAGCGCAACTCTTGCGCGAAGGAGCCGGCCTCACGGAACAGGGTCAGCAAAATCTCACTGCTCTCTTGCAGGGCAGAGACAATGATGTCGACCTCTTAGCGGCCACCCTGGCCCGGATGGATGTGCGAAGCGATCGCTTGTCCGGCTTCGCTGAGAACGTCCCCGAGGAGAAGTCGTTTGCTGCCTACCAGGACGAGGAGGACGAGGACGACGAGGACCCTTCCGAATCGAGCGAAGACGCAGAGCAGACTATCAGCTCCTTCCTGTCAGAGGCCGGCGAGCTGGACCTGAGTGAGGATCAAGCGGCGTTTGTGTATGCCCTTCTGGACAGCAGGGCGCCCCGTCGGAATAGGACGTGGAAGGAAAATAAGAACTTCAAGGCGGAGGCGAAGAAGGACCGGGGCAGCTTCACGAAGGGCAGCGGTTCCGATGGACCTCGAGGAGCGACCGGAGGAGTTCCTGGTATGCGAGGATCTTCTGGGTCGAAGCCTCCTCGTGAACCTCGCCGCGGTCGTGGTCCCGGAAAGCCGAGACTCTCCATCGAGCAGCTGAAAAAGGTGTCCAAGTGTCGTCTTTGTGGACGTCGAGGACACTGGGCAGAGGACTGCCGGGAGTCTCGACCTCCTGCGGGGGACGGTGGTCATCATCCTGTGCGTACCACCGGGTTCTGCTACCTCGGGCCTCCTCAGACCGGTGACTCTCTTTTCACGATGCCCGACGAGATCTTGGCGAGCGACTTGAACAGCTCGAGCTCCTTGCGAACCCTCAATCAGTCAGCTCACTGGACTCTGGCGTCCTCAGAGACATGGGCCTCAGAGACTTTGAAGGAGCGATGGAGCTTCCTGACCTTGGCCTCTGGAGCGGCCATCGTGGACATCGGGGCGACCCAAGACCTCATAGGACAGTGTGCTCTTGCAGCTCTCGAGGACCGGCTTGCTCGATCCGGTCTACAGGTTCTCGAGATCCCCACTGTCTCCGGCATCCCAAGCGGCATTGGAGGCAAGGCAACTGTGGTCAAGTCCGTGTTGGTGCCTATGTCCCCTGGCCAGACGCCCGGAGTCGTGAGCTTCTTGGTGATAAAGGAGAATGTCCCGCCGTTGCTTTCGGTAGGGCTACTTCAGCACTTGGGGACCAGCTTGAGCCTCGTCACGAACGAGATCTTCTTTGAAGAAATTGGGGTATCTTTGAAGATGAACGTTGAGGATTCGGGACATCGTACGATTCCTTTGGCAGACTGGCCGGAGGGCAAGGTTTTTCCCATGCCCGAAGCAGCCCGACAACAGTTCGGCTTCTCGAAGGATGCTTTTATGAAGACCTCCGGACTCTCTCCGCAGTACACAAACAAGGGTCGAGCAGCGCCACCACGGAAGAGAGTGCAGTTTGTCGATTCTAGCAGCCCAGTCACGTCCGGATTGAGTTCGCAGCCAACCTCTGTGCTTGTCTCTGCAGCAGGATGCGGTGATCACGACAGTCAGGTCACAGATTCATGCAGTCCTGGAGTTCGAGATTCGGATGAGGGTGTTGACCATGTGACTCTCGGCTCAGATTTGCGCGTTCCAATGGGCAACTTGCCCGGAAGCAACAGCCCTAAATTCGATTCCGACCCGGGTTTCTCTCGCGATGGACCCCTCGACCGGCATGTACACCCGGGCGGAGAACCGCTGGAGAACTTTCACATCCCGGATCTTCCTGGTCCTCGAGACCTCCAGAATGATGTTCATGCGGTTGATCATGGCGGAGAGAGGACAAAAGAGTGTCCACTCCGACCGGAGGTCCTTCCTGGAAGCTCCGTCTCAGGCCCCTGGGGGCTGCCTGCATCAAGGGAAGCACTTGAACCGAGGAAACCAGTATGCGAGCTGGACGGTGTGCCACGTTTGCGGGGCTCGCTTAAGCTACTCCTCGAAGAAGACGGCCGCCAAGACCAAGGCGGCAGCTCGACAGGCGACACGAGCGATCTCCAGCGCCGGCTACATGACCTCGGGACCGAGCTCTGCGGCGCCCCTTCTTCAGGCACCCTCGAGCTCT